TGGGCCAGTACCCTTCCCCTAATGACGGCCAGGCCCCCCATCTCCCAGGGAACCATTTTCCAAGGCCTGCTGCTCAGTCAAGAAGCGTTAAATCACATCTGTAGAATGGGGCAGACTCTCTTCACTGTCTCTTCAGATTGTTTCCAGGCTGAATGGAGGAACATGAAAAGATCTGCAATGCATTAGGCAGAAAGCAAATGTGAAGCAAGATGCTGCTGTGTGCCACAGGTAAATGCTCCCAGTCCTAAAGCCACCTCCACTCAGCCTGCCCCTACAGGAGTGAGAACTGCAGCAACATAACCTGAGGTGGACATGGAGATCCCCTTCATTCTTGGGATGGTTAATTCAAACCGCACCCCCAGCAACAAGGACTCACTGATATGTGGGATGGTGTCTTTTTATACACTTGTTCTTAGAGCATCCTTTCTACCTTGGAAGCTAAGTTATTTTTGTAAACCTATTTTACATTAATATGAGAAAACCTAAAGCCTCACTTTTGACATGAGATCTGAAAACGGCTCAGAATATCCTGTCACAGAAATCTAGGCAAGATTGGCTTTAAATATGTATTCCCAGGAACATGACAAAACGGTATAACTAGATGTGACATTTCAATTCCACAATCATGCACCATTCAAGTGGGCATTCCTGCTTTCTGAGAACTGATATTTATTCATCTGTATAAGAAGGCACTTACTGTAGCTGGCTGATTTCCTTTGGCACGATTTTCTTGCTACTGTGTCAGCATCATTAACAATTATATTACCTCTGAAGACATTCAGATTCTCACTTCTACTTAAAGGGGGTAATCTTATCACATGTATTCATGTGTAAAATATTTTTAAGTAGCCCTCGTCAAGCTTGGCCTCAGTCTGACTGAAACTGCTCACACCCCTTACAAAGATATGGGAATCGGTCCTGGCAACCTCTGATTTATAATACACATCGACGTGGCCATTTATAACACCTGCTTTCTCTCGTATCTTCTGTGTGCAAGAAAGACACACTGCAGAACAAGCAGAGCCTCTCATTGTTCTAGCATCCCGGGTTTATGCCAGTCTCTCTATGACTCCAGATGGAATTTGAAGGCAAATAAAAAATCCTTTATGACAGCCGGGTGAGCGGAAGAGCCTAGAGATCACAGGGATTGGGCTATTTCCGGAGTAAGAAATTAGCAGCTCTCCGGTTGCAGACACCCACCTGCCTCCCCGTCTCCTCTCTGTCTTCTGCAGCACATTGTCTATTAGGATCTTGGGCTCTCTTTGTGGTGGTCTTCGGGCCCTGGATGTTCGTCCAAGCTGTACACCCTCGGCCTACGTGTGATATGGCTGAGGAGAGTTAATTTTCCCAAGCCTACTTTCCTTCATCTGTAAATGTGAACAATAACGTAAACTAGGGTTGTTGTGGTATATTGGATTAGCTCAACACACAGATGAAGCCCGGTTGTTGTTGTTATGGGCATCATCACCCTCGTCGCTTCCCTACACATTCTCTTATTTGTGCGTGATGCATCAAGATGGGAATTTGTTAATTTTTGGATGGATACTTGATTTCTTAAAACTGCTTTACTTAGTTCCTGTTAGCCTAATATAGTAACTTTGTTGTATCAGACTATCAATTTGACTTGGAGGTTCCAAAATCAGAGTTTTTAAAAAAGTATATGTTTTGTCAAAAACAAAACAACAACCGCAAAGAATAGCAGGTAACCAGAACCAAGCTGCTCAAGTAATGATCTTTCCAAATGAATATGATTGAGTTAAAACTGGTCAGTTGTCGTTACCACCTGGACAAATGTCTCTGTGGTAGTGGAGAGGGTCAAGTGGGAGCCACGGTCTCCAGGGCTCACTCACTGCGGACTTGCCTAAGCCTGCCCTTCAGGAGCAGTGTCACAGCACCCTCAGGTCCCCGTCCAATCATGGCCTTGTCCTGGTGGCATGGGGATGACAGGGACTGTGCTTTAGTTCCATGGCATCCTCCTGATCTCTATGTCGCCTCCCTCGGTGACACGTCAGACTCAGGTCTCTCTTTTTTTCCTGGTTTTTATTTTCTTAGTTTATTAGTACTGTGTGCGGTACATAATGTGCTCATTCCGCGTGGGGAGCTGGTGCATGCACATGACACATCTTCATTCCTTTTTCATTCACTTTCCCTCTCTCCCTCCCCACCTGTGTCTCGATCCCCTTCCTTTCTATTGTACATGCTAGCAGTACGTGATGTTTACATTCCTTGTGGGGAGCTGGTGCATGTACAGAACACATCCCACTTCCTTTTTTCATCTCTTACCCATCCTCAAGTCTCCTTTGAAACTAACTTTTATCTGCTAAGTAATGAGGACATCACTTTTTAAATATCACGTAAGTTTTATCTTGGTGCTTTCCCTTTTTTATTACTAAAATTATCTCCACCAGGAAGCAACAAAATAAAACGGGCCACAAACAAAATGCAACTCAGGATTTCATTAGATCCCGCTTGATAGGAGAGACCACCCAAGGGCAAGACAGCATACCTTTGCAGGATGGTTTCCTTTGAGTAGAATGTGATCTTACAGTACAGATTAGGTCTTTCCCCAATTTGTGGACAAACTAGCTATGCACACTTCTTCCCTCTGGATGTCATGATATCCTCTGGACTGGAGAATGCTATAGGAGTGTCTCCAAGTATCTAGGAATGGGCGTGTGTGTCTCAGCTTCATGGTGCACGGGTGATGCATTTATGTTTGTGTATCTATCTGCACATCATGGAGGGGGAGGCCGAGTCCAGAGACCGTTAAAGCTGCTTTGCTCCAGGTCGCAGTGAGGAACAAAATGCCATCTCAAAGGGTCAGGTTCGTTACCCTGCTTTTCTAGCACATTGAAGTGCCACAAATCTGAACTTTAAAAAAAATTTTCTACCTTAACTACGAAGCTCTGAAAATAGGCATTTTTCCCGGTTAAGCTTCAAAACTTGCTCATTTTAAGGGTCTGGGCTCTGTGACATAGAGATTGACTAGAAGTTTGTGAAATTTATTTTACTCACATACTGCCTGAAAGAATTTCTAACAACTGTGTCCTACCTATGTGAAGTATGTACCTAATTTGGGTTTTAGTAAAAGTCTAAATAATGTTAAAAAGCAAAATTTCTAGCATACTTTAAATATGTATTTTTTTAAAGTATAGCTACTGTATCAATTTTAAATGTTACAATTAATATTTATTCAATACTCCTTATCACCCATTAAAATAAATTCTCTAACAAATAGAAATTTTACATCTTTGTTTTATTCTCTTTGGACTTATATTTCCATTACACTTTCCTCATAGAATAATAGCCTAATTTAGCATATTTTATTGATCACCCTATTATATTTCTTTGCAACAAAAATAAGTACACAAATTTAAGGAAAGATATTTTATAATTACCTGTGACTCTAACGGTTTAAGTATTACAATTTCCTTTTGGTATGGGTAATCATTGCAAATGTTATTAATGATAATCATCCAAAACAAAAATATATTATAAACTTAATAAAAAATAAATTTAAACAGTAAAATTTTATTGAAATGTATGTTTCTTAGATGTTTTGGGGTTTTCTTCAGTTAGTTTATGTTTTTGTACAAATATTATTTGTTTCTAGAATAGGACATGGTTCAGCGTGGATTTTATTTCCACTTTTTAATTTTACAGATTTACATACTGGAAAAGCTTGCCTGCATAAATGTGAGACTAGATAGATTTCTATGTCTCAGACCACATAGTAACCTGTAACCAAAAATGATTTTTTAATGATCTATCAAATGATGAGCAGATTAGGACTTTTAATTTTATTGAAGGGGAAAAAAAAGGAAATTTCATTACATCCAAAAGAATATATGACACAGCCATTGAACTCACCAGTATTTTGTCAGCATCAGTGTTTCAAAACATTTTTTCCAGGGCCTCAGATGTCTTGTAGTCTGGGAATACACTGCGTAGTAAGATTTGGGACAGTGAGGAAAGATGCTTCCTTTGTGAAATGGGGTAGGTGGTTGTCATACTTTGGATCCTGGATGTCTCCTCCATGGGCAGGGGCTAAAGGCCTGGTCTCAGGGGTTGTGAGGCCTGGTGGGGTGGTCCTCAGGTCCCTGGGGCACCCCGCAAAGGCAGTGGCTCTTGTTTTGAGCAGTCTGATCCACCAAGTAGTCTCTGCCATCACGATCTGGCAGCACTGCCAGATGTGAAAACAATGCATCCATTCAGTTACTGGCTGGAGCCTCTACGTCGATGGACCAAGATAACCCTTTTCTCTTTATAAGTTAATTATCTCCAGTGTTTTATTATAGCAACAGAAAACTGACTTACATAGTGATTAAGAAAAAAGAGAGCAAGATATTTTCAGAGGCAAGGCATAATCATGAAGATAGATTTTAGGCAAATCTGCATGTAAAGGCTGGGAAATTTAAAATTTATTTTCTTAAAATTATCCCTGCCCTTGCCCCCCTGAGGGTGAGTGTTTCCTCCTGGTGTATGTGTGCTTGTGTTCCCCACACTGTTCTGTGCTGATTCTATCCAGATGAGTCCATGTACCATTGTGTAAGGCGAGAGAAAGTGGTGGCTGGCGGGATGATGGAGAGAGAGGTGGATAACTCCATCTTCAAACCAAACAGTTCTGGGTGCAGACTATCTTATACTGAGGGAACAACACACCCCACAAGCACAAATCCCACTGTCTAAACAACCAGTGAGGAAAATGGCGACCACTCCCACACGCTGAGATCAGGATGCATCTGCAGCAAGCCTCACAGCTCTTCCCTGCATCTCCTGTGCTTCCCAAGCATTACCTCAGGGGGGTTTGCAGCCAGTCTGTGATTCCTTCCCAAGACAGAGACAAGACACTTGACAGGCACCATGTTTCTCTTGTTCATCCAAGGGATTTGGATGAAAAAGACTGTGAATTCCTTTCAAATACCTGCCTCAAAGGCTCAGGAACTCCCAAGCCCTTCAAGCATTAGCAAAGGAAATTAGAAAAATTCTTTCAAACTTACAATCAGTGGGCCCCGGTTGTTCTCCCGGTACTTGTTCTGGAAGAAAATGTAAACGACAGTGGCAGCCAGCGAGTAGAGGAAGGCGAAGACAGCCACGGTGACGAAGAACTCTGCCGAAGATGAGGAGTCGCCAATAAGCGCCAGCTTCTGCTGTCCCTTCCCCTCACAGGTGGGTACCTCGAAGGTCACCTGGTGCAACCTAAACCGCCAGGTTGAAGAAGATGTGTGAATGCTCTGAAGAGAAAACTAGAGGTCATATCTCTCTCTTCTAAAGCAAAGTGAGGTGTGACTCGGGAGTTTTATGGTACGCCAACAGAAGAAATTTATCAAGGAGTTTACAGAGATTGTAGCTAGACATGTGGAAATAGATATGCAGAAAACATCATTGGATTGTTTCACCAACCTACCCTGTGCTTTCTCTCCCTAGCGGGGCCTCCAGCTTTGCACCCCGCGCCCCAGCTGTGGCTCTAGACTCTTCCTCTGTTGTTTGGGCTTCATTGCCTGTTCCAACCACATTGGCTTGCTCTCCCCTCCTCAGTTACACCAAGCGTGGTCCTGTCTGAGTATCTCATCACTGACTGTCCCTTTTCCCTAAATCATTCTGCTCCTGACAGTTCCCAAACTGCCTCTTTGGCATTCAGATGCCAGCTCAGATACCTCCCAGGAGAGATTTTTCCTAACCACTGATCAAAAGCAGCCCTTTCCTCTGGACATTTCCTCTAACATAATGCTGTCTGATATTACTTGCAGCATTTATTGCCAGTTAAGCCTGTCTCAGTCATGCATTTGAATACTTTTCTGTCTTTGCTGCCCTCTTAGCAGTGACTAACATCTCCACAATAGTGGAGATCTTGGTTTTCTTCTCTGTGCATACCCAAAGCCTAACTTTAGTTGTGCACTCAGAACTTGGATAAATGAATGAACATTCTTGATTCTGTCAGAGAACTGACAGACTCTAACGCGACTGGAATTGTACAACTTCTATTTTAGAGAGTGGGTCCCATCAGGATAATACCCAAGCTCAATATATTCCTTGATAGAAACAAATATGATGCTCGAAGAATACTTTCTGCTCAGTGGATGACACTTAAGGAAGATGTATTACATCTCTATACTGTAGCTCATGCCATGAATAAGAACTCAGTGGTAAACTAATTTAATGTAGGAAACAAAATCCTTCTTCAGAAATGACTGTTAGGGAGGCACCTGGAAATAGATATAAATGTGGCTTATTTATGTCAATAAAATATCACTTGGAAATTATCCATGAAAGTAACAGTGATAAAGCCATCCATGAACCTAAAAAATTCCCAACTTACGTTTAGAAAGTATATTTCTTACTGAGCAAAATTATTCCCTTTTAACAGATTTGTTGTGCATATTCTCTTCTGATTTAGGAAGCCATGGTAAAATAATAATAATGACAATGATAGCAACTAACATATGGGAGCATTTCCTATATTCGAAATTCTGCATTTTTGAACACATTTAATTGAATGCCCACAACAAACTCACTAATGTAGCCCGTTTTATTTTCTTCTCTCTCCTTTACAGATGAGGAAACTGAGGCCTAGCAAGATTGAGTAAGTTGTACTAAGGCACGTTGGGCCAGGGATTTAAATGTGCATCTGACTCCAGAGACTGATTTTTGAACTTCTGCGTTAACCTGCTTATGTTAATTAGTGAAAACATTAACTAGAATGAATGTTCTTTCAAAATGAAGTCTCTGGCCCCTGGCGGTGTATCCCAGGCTGAATCCCAGATCCTCTGTGAACTTGAGGAGTAGGGCCTAGTGGCAACCAAAGCAGGAGAAGCCATTTCCCCTAAGTCACTTATTTCTTAAAACTATATTTTAAAATAGCTCCTGTGCTGCCCTTACCAGAGATATTAAAATATTCATTAGTAATCTGATCTCTCATAATGTGGAAAAGTGAAGGAGATTGGAAAGGTACTTGTAGCAATCTGGGTGGGATTTCAGCTTGACTGGCTCTGGAGTCTGCTCTCAGGATGGCTGAAGCAAACTTCAGGGTGTGTCTGGGAGGGCAGGAAGCACACCTCGTGGTCTGTCTGGTCCTGGCCCTGCGGCTCCTGGCTGCTCCTCGCTCGGCTCCTGCTGCCATGGGCTGAGCAGCTCCGCCCCACCGGGCCCTGCTGCCAGGCTGGCTCTGCCTTGGAGCCAGGGGATCATGGCCAAAGCTGTGAGCCAATGAAACCTCTTCTCCTTGAAGCTGTGGTGTTGGGTATTGTGTCTCAGTGACAAGAAAGCTGACTAATATGGTAATCATGTCAATTCTAAAACTGGTGATTTTTAGACATTGCATGCTTTTTCTTATTATTTCTGCATGTCATTCATTTAACACATTGTTTTACATTGTAAACATTTTATAATTTTTATTTGTACATGTGTGCCATAGGAATGATCACATCCGCCAGGGGAAACTTGTACCTGCAGATGATGTGTCTTCCTTCTTTCCCCATTCCCCTCCCCTCCCTTCAACCTGTCTCCCCTCCCAATTTACAGAAGTTCTGTTTCCATTTTTTCCTTCTATTCTCTTTTTAAAGTCCTCTTTCCCTTCTTTCCAACCTCACCTCGTTTTCCTTCTCATTTGAACCAATTCTTCCTACTTTTCCCAATATCTATCCTCCATTTTGCTTCTTATTTACTCTTTGAATTTCTCACATAAGAGAAAAATATATGATATTTAAACTTTTATGTCTGATTTATTTCACTTAAAATTATGGCCTCAAGATGCATCCATTTACATAAAATGTCTCAAGTTTATTCTTCTTTATGGCAGAGTAATACTCCATTATATATAAATACCACATTTTCTTTATCCATTCATCTGTTGATAGGCACATGAGCTGTTTCCAAGATTTAGCTATTATAAATTGTGCTGCTATAAACATGGGTATACATATCTCACTGTGGTATGATGCTTTTAACTCTTTTGGGAAAATGCCTAGAGTAACTGGGTCAAATGTAATCTCTAGTTTTAGTTACTTGAGGAATCTCCACACTGATTTCCACAGTGGTTGCACCAGTCTATACTCCCACCAACAATGGAGCAGGGTTCCTTTTCCCCACAGTCCCATCAGCGTTGGTTATTGGTTGATTTCTTAATGATAGCAGCCATTCTTTCTGGAGTGAGGTGGTATCTCAGTGCTATTTTAATTTGTATCTCTTGGATGACCAGTGATGTTGAATTTTTTTTTATATGTTTATATTTTTGCTATTTGTACTTCTTCATCTAAGAAGTGTATTCATTTCAGATGCCCATTTTTGGGCTGGGTCTTTAAATTTGGAAGGCTTGATTTTTTTGGAGTTCTTCATATATTCTAGATATTAGTTTTAATGAGCAACTTTATAATTCATTCAGTGACTAGATCCTGGGGATGCAATGGGGAATCAAAACTGGTGGGACAGTCCCTGCTTAGGTTATACTTGAGGTTTGGAGAGAAAAGAGAGGTTTTCTGAGATGGGTGTGAGCCTGGTCAGGTAGGGGGGTCAAGTTACGTTTATCGGTGGAGGTGATCTTTGATCTGCAGCTTTCAAAGTGAGTAGAAACTACTCGGATTAAAAGTTGGGAAAGCAGGATGAATTACCACTTCATCCCCACTAGGGGTGCTAAACTAAGAAAAGATGGTAAGCGGAATAACAAGCGTTGGCCGGGCTGCAGAGAAATGAGAGCTTTCGTGTTGCTGGTGAGAAAGTGAAATGGAAGCGCTACTTTGGAAGCCAGTCTGGCAGCTCTTCACACAGTTAAACATAGAGTTTTCACACGATTGAGCAGTCCCACCACCAGACACATGCCTGAGAGCAGTCACAGTGTTTGTCTACATAAAATCTTGCACAAAAATGTTCACACAACATCATTCACAATAACGAAGAAAGTGGAAAGAACCCAAATGTCCATCAACTGATGAATGGACAAGTAAAAAGTGTATATTCATCAGATGGAACGTTATTTCTCAATTAAAAGGAACGACACACTGATACCTGTGGGTGAACTTGAAAACTTGCTAAGTGAAAGAAGCCAGACACAAGAGACTACCGACTGTATGACTACGTTTACATGAAATGGCTCAGAATAGACAAATACATGGAGACAAAAAGCAGGTTAGTCTTCGGCTAGGGCTAGGGATGGGAGAATTGAGGATGTTGGCTAAGTGGTAGGGTTTCTTTTTGGGGATAATGGCAATTTGCATAAATTGACTGGGGTGAGAGATAAACAGCGCCATGGATACATCAAAAGCTATCAAACTGCACTTTTAAATGATGAATTGTGTGGTGAGTGAATTGAATCTCAATGAAACTGTTAGAGAATAGATAGGGAAGAGGACGTACCGAGTGCGTGCACAGGCAAGGAGCCCAGTGCGTGCCAGGAGCAGTGTGTCTTGGGAGACCAGAGGATTCCAGGACAGGAGGTGGTGCAGAAGATGTGGGGACATAGCCAGAAGCCCCACGGGGGGTGCGGGGGGCCTCACTGTAGATGTTGGTCTTAATTTGGACACAGACAGGAAAGAGTTTCTTAGCACATCATGCCAAACAAAAACTCTGTCCCCTGACACAGCTATGTGGAAACACGCACACCTGCTCCCCAGGTTCCAGGACGCAGACGTCTCTAATGACAGTCCCTCAGATGTGCACAGCTGGGTCTTAAGCCTTGCACACTGTGGGAGCAGCAGGAGCGGAGGGTAGTGCCTCTGTTCCTTTTCCTGCACCCTCCATAGAAGAGCAACAGTTCCTCACTGCTGATGCATTGTATTACTTACAGGAAGTGCTGCTGTGCTCAGCTGTACTAGGCCAAAAATCAGTAAAAAGCCTACTGTGCTTATTAATACCCATGATGGCTGGGTATTTGGCCCACCAGCCACACTGGGGTGGAGGCAGAAAGAAGAGTGGAGATGGAAGTCAGTGTCTCAAGTAAGGTCTACTCCGAGGAGGGGTGGGTAAGCATTTGTAAGAGAGGAGCATGCAGCTTTGGAATAGTCTGAGTATAGTTTATATCACTAAGATTTTGAATTCTGGATGGTGTGCACTTTACTAGACTCAAATATGTGTATATATACATGCACACAAAGGTTTTTAAAGCAGTATTTATATACATGTATATTAACAGTTATAATGATATATATTATTTTGGAAGAGAAGAGTGTATAGTCGGCATGTATTTTGCAGCTGCTATAACTTTAGAT